CGGAGCCCAAGCCACAAAATGAGCAGCTGTTCAGACGGTCCTCCACTTACAACGGTCTGTTTAGCGACTGTTCAAAGTTACAACGGCATTGGGGGGGGGAAATGGACATTTTTTTCACACTTAATGACCATTGCAGGATCTCCATGGAGTTGTCATGTGGTCAAAATTTGGACGCTCGGCCACTGACTCGTGTTTATGACGGTGGCACTGTCTCCAGGGGCCACATAATCCCCTTTTGCAACCTGCTGACTGGCAAAGTCCAGTTTGGAAGCACCAGATTCACTTAACGACCGACCGTTAGTAGCTTAACCCCTGCACTTAACCCCTGTGGGAAGGGAAGGACATAAAAGGAAGCAAACCTTGCTTAGGAACTGTCTCGCCTAGCGACGGAAATGTCGGGCACGATTGGAGGTCATAAGTCGAGGACCCACTGTTCGATGGCCAGAGCACAAGCAAAGATAATAGCTCTACTAAGTGGATGCATGATCCGGGTGACCCATTTCCAACCACAAGTGCAGAAGGAAAAAAAATTTTAAAAGGGAGGACGAAAATCTGGTCGTGAATAAATTTAATCCCTGGTCCCCAGGTTGCAATTTGCTGGATTTTAGCCTCTCCCCACCAACCCTGAAATATGGCAGCTCAGACTGTTTGCATGTCCTCAAAGCATCCCACGAGGACCAGGGGAAGAAAAGGGGGAGGGAGAACAACCACCACCACCCAGACTCGCTCGTAACTTGCATAACTGACCTGCTGCAAAGGCGGTTGTGAGCTGCAGAACTGCAGACCTTGATCTCACACAACCCAGGCGAGGCTCACACAACTCTCGCCCTGCGCAGCAAACGTGCCAGAGAATCAGAGGGGAGGGGCTGCCCCCCAGGAGGACCCACGGATGTCTGACATGGAGGAGTATTGGTTGGAAAGCTGGAAAGAATAGGAAGGGGAAGGGGAATAGAATAGAATGGAATGGGATGGGATAAAATAGAACAGAATGGAAAATACAACAGAAGGAGAAAATGGAAAATGGAACAGAATAGAATAGATATTGGATGAAGAATAGAATAGAATAGAATAGAATAGAATAGAATAGAATAGAATAGAATAGAATAGAATAGAATAGAATAGAATAGAACAAAACAGAAAATAGAAAATAGAAAATAGAAAACAGAACAGAAAATAGAAAATAGAAGAGAATAGAATAGATATTGGATGAAGAATAGAATAGAATAGAACAGAACAACAAAACAAAACAGAATAGAAAATAGAAAACAGAACAGAAAATAGAAAACAGAATAGAAATTAGAAAATAGAACAGAAAAGAAAATAGAACAGAAAAGAAAATAGAAAATAGAACAGAACAGAAAA